GTACCCTGACCCACAGCCTTTCATAATTGTTTTTATACAATTTTACATTAGAAACAGATAGGGTAACCCCCAGATATTTTATCTTATCAACAACTTCAAAGTCTGTCAGATTAACCAAAATCTGCTTATCCAAATTAGTCATGTTTTTAGATAATATTTTAGTCTTATTGTTATTAATTTTAAAACCCGAAACCCATCCATATTGATAAATCAGTTGTAATAAATTTACTACAGAATAGGTAGGTTGAGACAAAGTAACCACCAAGTCATCTGCAAAAGCTCTTAATTTATATTATTTTTTGTTAACTTCTATTCCTTTTATTTCCTGTGACTCTCGAATTTTGATCAGCAAAATTTCCAGAGTTAAAACAAACAGTAACGGTGACAATTGACATCCCTGTCTTGTACCTTTTTCTATTGTAAAAACCTCTGACAAACCCCCATTAACAATAAGTTGTGCCGTTTGTTTTTGATATATAGCACCAAAAGCTTGTGATATTTTTTCTCCAAAATTCATTTCCTCAATTAATCTTAACATAAACTGCCAATTCAATTGATCAAAAGCTTTATCAGCATCTAAAAATATCAGCCCTGCGGAGATTTGGAAAACCAATAAAACTTGTTATAAAAAAAAGAAAGAAAGGGGAAGACGTGCAGCTCAATCAGACTTTCAAGACTCGGTAGTATACCAAATCTCAATAAACATTTTTTTAGCTTTCCTCCAGAAAATAAATAAATAAATAAATAAATAAATAACCACAGTGTCCAAGGCATGATATTTGTTTGGATAATTGTACTTATTAAATCCCTGTTTGCATTTTTTTTCAGGGGGCTGGCATATCAACATTGAATTGCTAAGATGCCTGCTAACTTCTATCACTATTCAACTTACCATAGAAACAGGGGGGAAGGGGTAGAAACCTTGGGAAAAAAATGGAATTCTAAGAAGCTGACCACAGACTGTGAGAACCAAGGTCAGAAAAATAGGTTTTAATTTGTGAAAACTAGAGTTGGTTTTGCTTCTTCAGTTCTGAGATGTGTACTCAATAAATTTTTATCTTTTATGGCAATTCAAACATGGAAGATTCCTTGATTTTGGGTTCTCTATTCAGATGATTGACAGACATCATGGAAAACAAATCTAAAGAGTGATAAGCTATTAGAAAAGAACAACGATTTTGAGATTAATCTATTGAATCACTTTGCTCTATTGCAAGATTTGGCAGAGATGAACATTATGGATCAAAATGAACAAATAGTCAAAAAGATCCTCGAATCTGCTACATCTGTAGCAACTCCAGAAAAACACTTTGTACAATCAAAAATTTTTGATGTAACTATTAATCTAATAAAAAAAGATGGGCAATGAAAAATACTGGAAGTTTCACTAATAAACTGAAGTACATTGAACTTTGCAAGACCATAAGAAAACATATCAAGAAGAAATGCATCAGTTTAACATGAAGCTTGTGAAAAAAGAAATTGAAGAAAACAAAGGAATTAATAGAGCAAAATGCAAGCTTATAAATACAAACAAGAAGGTTTTTGCATTAAAACACGAAGATGGCTCTGTGTGTACAAGACAGGAAATGTTAGAAATAATTGGAAAATTCCACTCAAAGCTATACAAAGATCAAGATCAGTCAAACATAACAACACCATTAAAAGAGGAAATGCCATATATTCTAGTGGAGGAAGTATCAAGTGCCAAAAAATCAATGAAAAATGGCAAAGCTTCAGGAAATGACTGTGTTATGGTTGAAATGCTGAAAGCTGGTGGTCACAGTTTACGCAAGATACCAGTAAAACTATAATTGAGATGCCTCAGAGAAGAAAAAAATACTTGATGCATAGAAAAATGCTGAAGTGATTCTTATACACAAGAAAGGAGGCCAAGATGATTTAAAGAACTATTGCCCAATAAGCATTCTTTTAGCCATCTACAAGATTTTCACCAAGATAATAGCAAAAAGAATATTGAGAACATTAAATGATGCACAGCCAAGGGAACAGGCAGGATTTAGAAATGGCTACAACACAATGGATTACATCCAGGTTGTTCAGCATGCCACTGAAAGATACAACGAGTACACCATGCCTCTCTGCATGGCTTTCATTGACTATGAAAAGGCATTTGACTCAGTATTCCAGCAAGCAATAATGAATGCAATGCTCAACCAAGGCATAACTATTGCTTACATAAACTTACTACAATCAATATATGAAAAAACAATGGTGACAATTTGCCTCAATGATCTTAAAGTGGAAATCAACGTAGAACGAGATATACGACAAGGCGATACAATATCACCTATCCTTTTCTCAGCCTGCCTTGAAGAAGTATTTCACAAACTAGACTGGGCAAAAGATGGAATAAAAATCTATGGTGCCTATTCACTTAAGTTTGCAGATGATGTTTTTCTCTTCTCACAAGACCGAGAAGAGCTACAAAGACACATACAAGAACTGCACAAAGCAGGAGAATCATTTGGCTTAAAAATAAACCTGAAAAAAATCAGGTTATGTTTAATAAATTCACCAAAGAAAGAAAAATGCTTATATCTGGAGAAGAACTAGACATAGTAGACTACTATATATACCTTGACCAATGGATCTCAGTGGAAGGTGATATAATAAAGGAAATTGAATGTCATGTTAATTGTGATTGGCAAGCATTCAGCAAGCTAAGCATAATTTTCAAAAACAACCTTCCCCTATGCCTGAAAAGAAAAGTTTTTGATCAACGTGTGCTATCTGCTCTAACATATACGGACACTAACCTCACAATCAATACAAAAAATACGTGTGGCACAAAGATCCAAGGAAAGATACATGTTCGGCCTTACCAGATAAGATAGAAAGACCTGCACATGGATTAGAGAACAAACAAAAGTATAAAATATCATCAAGAGAATAAAAGAATACTGTATGTATGTATGTTTTTTCACTGTAGAGAAGGATTTTTTATTCTTATTTTTGCACTTTTAAAATACATTGTGTATTTTACATCACTTTAAATGCTTTTATAATTTTATAACTATTTAAATTATTTTTCCTAATCATCATGAATTTGGCATAAATCCCCTTGATGAGACAAATGACTTACTGCCTGAATTTTGTCCTTGAAATAGAGCATTTTAAAAATGGACTTTTTATGTCAGAGGGAGGGACCATAATAACACAACATCACTTACATTAATAACCCATTGCAATGAGGACTATATAGCATAGAAGATTCCAAAAGGACAGCTATAGGCCAATGGCCCTGAGCTAGACTTAAATTAACATTTTTATATCGTTCTTCTAACGACCACTCATCATTGGCATCCTTCAGTCTCGAGAGACTATGGTATCGTGCTCTGGAAAGAGGTCCTAAAACAGCATGTGGTGTGGCTAAAAAGGCCAATTCGAGAGTGGCAGTCCCTTCCACACTGAGGGCAGATACAATCTGTCCCCTGTCCAGCCCCCAGCTTTCACTGGTTCCGGGACTGCCTTTTTGCCTCAGCCTGCCGCACAAGTGTCTCTTCGAATTGGAGAAGGCCATGCTGTGTCTGTAGCCTCCAGGCTGAACGATCAGAGGTCAAGGATTCCCAGCTGTTAATGTCCATTCCCACGACCTTCAGATCCCTCTTGCAGATGTCCTTATATCGCAGCTCAGGTCTCCCTCTGGGGCACTTTCCCTGCACTAGTTCTCCATACAGGAGATCTTTCAGAATCTGACCATCAGCCATTCTCACGACATGCCCAAGCCAATGTAGACCTTGCTGTTTCAATAATGTATACATGCTAGAAATTCCAGCAAATTCCAGGACTGTGCTATTGGGACTTTGTCATGCCAGGTGATGCTGAGAATATGTCTGAGACAGCGCATATGAAAGGTGTTCAGCTTTCTCTCCTGCCATACATAAAGGGTCTAAGACTCACTGCAATACAAGAGTGTGCTCAAGTTGCAGGCTCTATAGACCTGGATTTGTGTATGTTCTGTCAACTTTTTATTAAGCCATACTCTCTTTGTAAGTCTGGAAAATGTGGTGGCCGCTTTACCAATACGTCTATTCAGCTCAGTAACGACCACCCACAGATAGTCACTATCTTGCAAAATCAGTTCCTTGTTCTTTTGTGCTGACCAGCAGTTTCCACATACATCCGTGTACATCTGAAACCTTTATCCATCTGTTACTTTCAGTTCCTCTTTTCCCACAGTTACAATACTCATGTTCCAAATATACACAGAACTACCTACTTTGCAATTTCATATTGCACAAAGCTCAGCAGATTACAAATAATATGTCCATATTGTGAAAGAATACAGAGTTGGAGTTAAAGCTTTGTTTTAAATCACTACTGTGGGGCCTATCTCAGATTTGCTCCAGCCTCATCATATTATGTGAGGAGGGGGCTATATGTTCATCTCCCACAATATCAAGGATTGAACTTTTGAACTTTCAACAAACATACTCTGATTCAGAGACCCTGTCTACAATATTTTTTTGTAAGTTGTGATTTTTTGCCAATTAATGCGGCTTGCCAAAATTTAAGCTAGTGCCATAAAAAGATGTGATGATGATTCCATTTGCTGCAGTCATGGAGATCCTGAGGAATGGCCTTCAAAATTTAGGAAAAAGTAATCCCATGTATGTATTTCTTGCCTCACTAAACTCTTTTCAGCTAAAAACAATATGACAGCAAAACCAGCTAAACAAGTCATCATCATTTATGATTCTAGTTAACTAGCTAATTTATATGAACCAAATTAACAAATGTTTACATGGTTTGGTGTTTTTTCCATTTAACTTGCTTTATCATTATAATTATTCAACATCAGTCCTATTACAGAAATATTCCCATATTTTAGACTTAGAAGAACCTCAGCTCATAGTACAAGCAAGATTTAGCAAATCCTCTTTCAACAAGAGTTATAAAATGCCATATGTAACCACCTCTTTTAGCCATTTTTTGTCAGGCTATATTACACCTGTGCTTTCATTACTTTTTTTCAGATTTCTCTTGGCCTTCTACATGCTCGTGCTACTCGTATACTTTGGCCTCCAGAGCGTTGGCAGAAGTTACAACCCAAGCTTTTTCCAGAACGCCAGCCTCTCCAGCATGACCAGGAATGACTAGTTTGGATCTGTTAGAAAACTTATAATTGAATTTGGTATGACTATATGAAATGCCTGGTGGTGACACTCTTCTTAATAAAAGGTTGGTGCAAATGAGATACCTCATTGCTTCTAAAGCAGTTCCGTCTTGATTTTAGCATTTCAACCATCCCAAAATTCTACAGAACGAACACTTTAGTCTAGTGTCTTAAGTTTATAAACATAGAAGAGTTTTGTTTCACTTTTTTTCTATTACAAATTTCAAGGTTTGTTTTTATTTTACTATTTGTTTTTTTACAGTATACTAGATGATACTACTGGATGGTAAAATGTGATATCAGCATGTAATTCATCATTATTTTAAATGTAATACTTTATGTATTTTAATACTTTTGTCAGAACTGCCTGGCTTGGCTTGGGGGGGGGGGGCTCACAGGCATCCTGCCATAAAAAAAGAAGAAGGGAGAGAAGGAAGAAAGGAAAAGATGAAAAAGCAATAAAGCTTTGTATGTACATGATAGGAATTTGGGAGCGGGGGGATGACAGGTGAGAAGGACCAGAGCAGCCGGATACTGTTTGTACCAGCATCCCATGGCCAGGTATCCTGAGAAATATGTGGATTACTCCCAAACATCTCAGAGTTCTCAAACCATCTTGGCGAGCTCTGGTTGGCTGGAAATGGTCATGGGAGGAGGGATGAGTTGGGGGCAAATCTATACCTTATTTTGTATCTAGTGAGTGTGGATATCAGAGCTGACTTGACTTTACTGCAATCATCTTTCTTAGTTAAAGAACCCTTTGCTTTAACAAAATTGAGTTAAAGGATTTTTTTCACTAAGGGATCGGATTGGAGCAGGTCTGACATTAAGCCAGCTCTGCAGTTGTGGTCAACTTGGAGAGGAAACCGCTTCTACCATGGGGACCATGCAAAAGATGTTGCCTCAAGGGAGGCAGAGATTGAGGCCTGAAGGGGAGCATCCTCAAAACCCCCTCCTGGAGGGCTGGATCTATCCAGATAGCTGTGAGACGACAACCACAAAGACCCCAATAGTCCCTTATGGTTGGGAAGAAGGAAGAATGGGAAGAGAAACCCATGGGAGTGACATTCACCCATGGGGGCCAAGGCAGCTGCCGGCCAGAGACCCGAGTAGAGCTGGAGGAACTGGAGGAAGAATCAAGCACAGGTGAGCTGGAGCAAGAAGACTGAATGCTGTAGCAAGCCATAAAGTTCTGGAGATATTTTTTTTTGGTAATCTCAAAGCTCAAAAAGCCCTAGCCTAGGCAGCATATCCCACTGACCAACTCCAGGTATGACAAGCAAGGGGACAATTACAATGGCGGCAGCGAGCAATTTGGCAACCACAACCATCCCAGTGCCTGGTCCTGCAGACCAGACTACGCCGGCTGCAGAAGCAGTGCCATCAAGGTGGAGAGGATGCAAGACATCAGCCCTGGGAATAAAATTCAACAGAGACCCCATGCAATTGGGGCTCTTCCTGGCACAAGTTTGGTCATACATGCAAGAACATGGTCCAGAAATAGCCACTGAAGGTGCTAAGATGTGGTGTGACCATGGCATTAGAGAGGGCCACAGCTGAGTGGATGGTCACCCTCCACAATGATGATACCCCAGAGCTGAGAAACTTCAACCGCTTCATGGCTACACTTCGGAAGGACTTCAAAGAATCTCTAGCCGATTGCAAAGCAGAGATTGCATAAAAACCATCAGCCAAGGGCGCAGAGTGGGTGGCCGAATACACCCAGGAATTTTGTAGTCTGGCCTGTTGATTGATTGACTGGTCAGAAGACCTCTTGATCAGATGCTTCTGAGACAGGCTAAGTGACGAGGTCTACAACACCTGCATTTCCAGAGGTGCCCCTCCCAACCCCCATGGCTGGTATGTCCTAGTAGAGGAAGTGGAAATTGACCTGGCTTGATCCAAATACTGGCCAAACTGTGGATGGTGAAGATCCCGCCCTGAAAAGAAAGATGCCACAAAACTGGCACCACATGAGTAGAGCCCATGTCGCCAATCTGCTGGCTGCTTTAGGTGTGGGAAGGAGCAGCACCAAGCCACCAACTGCCAACCTGCATGCCCAACCCAAAAGGCAACTTGGGGACCTGCCTCAAAATAGCAAAATCATAACAGCAAGTCCAGGAAACCACCCTGAAGGGAGTGGAAGTCATAGAGTTCACCCATCCTTCAAAGAATGTGGGAAAACTCTGACTGACCCAATAGGCAGTCTGGTGGAATGCGAGTCAGACCACAACAATGATCCCAGTGACCATCCCCATAGAACTGGTGGTTCAATCCTCAGGGCGAAAGGGGAGCCTAGTAGCCCTACTGGACTCAAGGTGCACCAGATGCCTGGTCAACCCTACCCTGTCAAGAAACTGAGCGTGAAACTCAAACAGCTTAAAATGCCCATAGCTTTTTGCCAGCTGGATGGCTCAGTGGCGGGAGGCAGTGACATTTGTTACCAAAGCAATGGGTGGGTGCACAAATGGAGATCCACAGCTTCGTCATAGCCCCTGGAATGGAAAGGCCTCTTGAGTTAGGACTGTCTTGACTCCAGAAATGGAACCTCTGTGTGAATTGGAGGAGCGGGTTGCTAAAAATCCAACTTGCTGACTGTGAAGGGGGAGGGGGAAAAGGCCATCAAAAACCTGCCCTGAAGCTGCGGCAGGTGAATCTGAAAGGAAGGTGGGAGTAACTGCCAAAGATCAGCCCCAGGGTGACTCTCAGATCCCCAAGGAGTACTGGGACCTATAAGACGTCTTCAGTGAGAAGAGATCAGACATGGTCCCACCGCACTGGCCAATTGATTATGCCATAGAAATCCTATCAGATGCCAAACTACCCAAATCTAAACTGTATTCCATGACCCCTAAGGAATTGGAGGAAATGCAGACTTTTATAGACAAAAACTTAAAGCATGGATTTATCCAACCTGCCAGACTGAGGGTCGCTGCCATGGTATTGTTTAGGGAAAAGAAGGATAGGTCCCTTTGTCTATGCATTGACTATCATGGGCTTAATGCTGTGTGTGTGGAAAACATTTATCCACTCCCTCTCATGAAGGACTTGCTGGCCCATTTGGTCAAAGGAAAGGCTTTCACCAAGTTGGATTTGAGGGAGGCATACTACTGAGTGAGGATCAAAGTAGAGGATGAAGGGAAAACTGTTTTCAATTGACCCTTACAATGCTTCCAGTTCTAGGTCCTCCCTTTTGGATTGCAAAGGGGCCCCTGCTGTGTTTATGCAGCTAATAAACAATGTGCTGCATGAACACCTGTATAAGGGAGTGTTAGTTTACCTGGTGACATTTTAATCTGTACTGAGACCATGGCAGAACACATAAAATTAGTCAGAGTTGTGTTCAAGAAGTTTAGAATGGCTGAACTATATGTCAAGCTGTTCAAATGGAAATTCGACCAGGGTAAAATCAACTATCCCCTTTATGGATTACTGCCCTGTCGTAGCGAAGGGGCTTGTGTAACTCAATGAAGCTATAAGCTATGCTGTGCAGGGCCACCCAAGATGGACAGGTCATAGCAGAGAGTTCTGACAAAATGTGATCCACTGGAGAAGGAAATGGCAAACCACTCCAATATCTTTGCCATGAAAACCCCATGGACAGTACTAAAAGGCAAAAAGATATGACGCTGGAAGATGAGCCCCTCAGGTCGGAAGGTGTCCAATATGCTACTGGGGAAGAGCAGAGGGCTAGTACTAGTAGCGCCAGAAAGAGTGAAGCGACTGGGCCAAAGCCGAAAGGACGCTCAGCTGTGGATATATCTGGTGGTGAAAGGAAAGTCCGATGCTGTAAAGATTTTTTCTCCATAGGAACCTGGAATGTAAGATCCATGAATCAAGGCAAGCTAGACGTAGTCAAAAAAGAGATGACAAGACTGAACATCGACATCTTAGGAATCAGCGAACTAAAATGGACAGGAATGGGTGAATTTAACTCAGATGACCATCAGGTATATTACTGTGGGCAAGAATCCCTCAGAAGAAATGGAGTAGCCTTCATAGTCAATAAAAGAATAGGAAAAGCAATACTGGGATACAATCCCCAAAATGACAGAATGATCTCAATTCGAATCCAAGGCAAACCATTCAATATCACAGTAGTCCAAATCTATGCCCCAACCACTGGTGCTGAAGAGGATGAAATTGACCGGTTCTATGAAGCCCTACAGCACCTTATAGAATTAACACCAAAAAATGATGTCCTTATCATCATGGGGGATTGGAATGCTAAGGTAGGAAGCCAAAAGATAACCGGAATAACAGGCAAGTTTGGCCTTGGAGTACAAAATGAAGCAGGGCACAGGCTGATAGAATTTTGTCAAGAGAATACGATGGTCATAACAAACACTCTTTTCCAACAACCCAAGAGACGGCTCTACACATGGACATCACCAGACGGTCAACATAGAAATCAGATTGACTATGTGCTCTGCAGCCAAAGATGGAGAAGCTCTATACAGTCAGTAAAAACAAGACCAGGAGCTGACTGTGGCTCAGATCATGAGCTTCTCGTTGCAAAATTTAGGCTTAAATTGAAAAAAGTAGGGAAAAGCACTAGGCCACTCAGGTATGAACTAAATCATATTCCTAATGAATATACAGTAGAGGTGACAAATAGATTTAAGGAATTAGATCTGATAGACAGAGTGCCTGAAGAACTATGGATGGAAGTTCGCAACATTGTACAAGAGGTAGCAACTAAAACCATCCCCCAAAAAAAAGAAATGCAAGAAAACAAAATGGCTGTCTGAGGAAGCTTTGCAAAGAAGGGAAGCGAAAGGCAAAGGAGAAAGAGAAAGATACACCCAATTGAATGCAGAATTCCAGAGAATAGCTAGAAGAGATAAGAATGCCTTCTTAAATGAACAGTGCAAAGAAATAGAAGAAAACAACAGAATAGGGAGGACCAGAGATCTCTTCAAGAAAATTGGAGATATGAAGGGAACGTTTCATGCAAAGATGGGCATGATAAAGGACCAAAATGGCAGAGACCTAACAGAGGCAGAAGAGATCAAGAAGAGATGGCAAAACTACACAGAAGAACTATACAAGAATGAGCTTAACA